AATAATAATAATAATAATAATAAACAAAAATAAAAATACTAATAATAAAAAATAAAAAGCACTAACTTTAGTTGAGTTGAAACCAATAATCTTATTTTCTGTATTTATTTAATTTTGTTCGTTTATTTGTGAATTATAATAGTGAATTTTTAAAATCTGCAGCAGTTTATTGATGCGTCTGTTTCCTTTGGGGTTTTTGTTGTTGTTTCTGCCGTAAACATGAAGTCCTTTTACGTATTTCCTGTTGTAAAGGAACCCGGTGACATGTGGGACTAGAACCTCTCGGTGGGTGACTTTAACTGATGTAAGATGATGATTGCATGAGTGGTAAAACGAATGAAAAGTATTTTCGTTTCGTTTTTTGCTGGGGTTTTTTCCCCCTTAATTGCTTTAAAATTCCCTCTAGATGACTTTTCTACTGTTACTTTCAGCAAAAGAAAAAAAGAAAAAGAAATAAAAAAAAATTAAAATCCGGAATGAAATGATTCTCTAAAGCTGAAGACTTTTGAATACACTTTGGTTGAACTAAAGCTAGTTTTTTTTTTGATGATATTTATTCTATTTTTGATTTCCACCAATAAACACTGCCTAAACAAATATGGATTATCAAAAATATTAAGTTACAACGCTTATTTTTGACTCTCTCCGTAAAAATCGTTTGTTTGTTTAAAGCGTCATTTTTTCCCCAGAAATATACATGAGAGGGGAGAAAATAAATAAATAAATAAATAAATAAATAAAAAAATTAAAAATGTTCCCATCGGGGCCCACCTGAACTCTCGACTCCGTCAGGCCGATCCGCAGAGCCAGCTCCTCCCGCATGAAGATGTCCGGGTAGTGCGTCTTGGCGAAGCTGCGCTCCAGCTCGTTGAGCTGCGCCGGGGTGAAGCGGGTCCGGTGCCGCTTCTGCTTCTGGCTCTGCTGCCCTCCGGACTGGTTCGGGTTGTTTCCGCTGCTGTTGTTCTGCTGCTGTTGCTGCTGCTGTTGCTGCTGCTGCTTCTCCTGCTCCTTGCTGTTCACCTGCACCGGGTTGGAGCCGCCGCCGCCGCTGATGTCGTCACCGGGGAGCATCGTGGCTCCTTCCACGCCGTCCGGACCGAGCTCCCCGGAGTGTCCCGGGTCAGGTCCGCCGCCCCCGAGCCTGCACTTCAGAGCTTCCCTGTGGCCCAGGAGCTCCGCCGCGGCATCCTTCATCCCTGCACACCAACAACCAAGAGCAGGTGAGATTTTTATTTATTTTTTTTAATTTTTAATTTATTTTTGCACTGATGAAAGCCCTGTGATAGAGGAAGAAAAAACAACAATCGTTAGAGGAAAAACTGAACATGCACAGAAATATGAAACATTACAAGAGAAAATGTTTGAATTATATATATAAAAAAAACGGATGCAATATATTTTACTTTTACAGAAAAATCTGAATCAAACGCATGCATTAAACCATCCAACACAAATAGAAGAATTAAGTACAACTATTTACCATGCACACTGCAATCTGCTCCTTAAATACTCCTTCACTCAATTCGATCACACCGAGATCTTAGAAATTTGCTAAATCAAATTACAGCGTAATGTAATAATAATAATAATTACTTTTCCAATGAATTAGGCGAATTTAGCTCTATTCGGGCACATTTAGACGTCATAAGGAGCAAATTGGACAAATTTTCTGAGCTTGATTTAAGATTAGAAGTTCCTCCAGCTTACAGTAGAGTTGGAGACCGGAGTTTGGTGACGATAACTCACCGAGGCGAGCATCCAGGAGGTCGGCGTGAGAAAGCATTGCGCACCGCTCCAGGGCGAAATGCTATTCCCACACACACACACAAAAAAAAAATAAATAAATAAATAAAAAAATAAAATAAAAATAAAAAAAATCTCTATGACTTTAACCTATTTAAGAAAAATATATAGCCTAAATGAAAGCAAATTCGGTTTGTGGTTAAAAGGGAGGTTCGTTGCATTATAATGTAGTTTAGAGGAACGGGGAGGCGCTTAGCGGCGGAATGAACCCATGAGCTCCTCCAAACGAGAACCAATCAGAGCCGAAGCCCAAAGCATGTCAGCTTTAGCGCCAGACCCCGACTGCCCCCCACCCCCCCAAAACCCACTCCACTCCAACACCTCCTTCCTCCATCCTCCTCCTCCTCCATCCTCTCGCTTCTCACAAGTTCATTCCTCCTCATTCCTATAATTGGCTTTGATTTCTCCTCCAAATTACAGCCAATAAAATAACCTGATTTAATATCTGAAGTCGAGGTTCGACCTGTTTGAGGAATGTTGGGCCACAGCAACATTTGTTTAATTGCGCGTGATGTCGCTTTTTTTATTATTTATTTATTGTGGGCCACTGGAACAAGGTTTGGACTTATTGACTTGAAAGAGAGAGCCACGTGTTCACCTCATGTAGTCAACAAAAACATGAGTTTAACCCAGTGAATGATATTTGTAGTTCCGTGAGGTCCAGCTCAAGGAAAAAAAGAGCAAATAAAATAATATAACCAACTGAATGCACTGTAAAACAATAATAATAATAATAACTTCGGGATGGTAAATATACACAATTAATCGAATTTCAACCACAACCAAATATTTATTTAATGAAAAAATAACTGTTTCATTTTAACAACGCCAGTTCATTTATTTTTTTTAAGCAAATCCCACCAAAACAATTTGATTAGAATTGAACTGCTGTCAGGTCACAGAGCACTGATAAAACAAACTTCACAATTTAACTCATAAAATTGATGTAAAAGTTTACACCAGGTTAGATTTGAATCAAAATGCTAAAGCTGGATGTAAGTAGGAGCGAAAGAAATTGACACAGAAATAAATTAGTCTAATTTTAACCATAAATTAGGCAAAAAAATTAAATTAAATTAAGTGCTAGTGTTAATGCTAACATTAGCATTAGCGCTGTTGCTAAAAAAAACAAGTTATAGGTGGATGCAGACTTACGGTCTTCTCCCAAGACAGACTTTTTCATCCACAGGTTTCATTACAGGCTGCATACTGGTGCAGTTGGTAGGTGCGTTACAGCTGGAGGGTTTTGGGGTCAAATCCTGGACTGAGATCTTTCTCCATGGAGTTTGCATTTTCTCCCTGTGCATGATTCCAAAAACATATCGGTTAGGTTCTAAACTGTCCATAGCTCTGTGTGTGTGTGTGTGTGTGTGTGTGTGTGTGTGTGTGTGTGTGTGTGTGTGTGTGTGTGTTGTCCTGTGATGCACTGGTAACTTGCCCAATGCCTTACAACTTCACATCATGGAGTCTGTCTCTCCTGATGGCTGCATGTGAATGAGAATATTTGCTGTCTTAGTCAATAACTCCAGTCAAATTTCAATAGACATTTGTGTAGGGTTTGTTACCAAACTTTCTAATATTGTTAGAATTTCACCATATTTGAACATTACTTTTGCAAACAATTTATTTAGCAGAATAAAAGCTTTATTATTTTTTTAAAAATAGGTATTTAAAGGTCTCTAGAATTCCGTTTCATTTATGCAAAAGATAGAAACTGCATATATACTTCAAATATTCTGCATTTTATCACTCATTTTCATCACATTTTTAGTCCGTAGTTTAATAGACACACAAATGACTCTGGTAGACCAATCAAGTGGACTTCCTGTCATTTTCATTATATAAAACTCACAATGTTTTAAATAAATAAAGACAGGAAAATGAAGAAATTTCTAAGTGTTATTCGGTGTAATATGTAAAAGAATTGTGTTTGGACATGAGGGTTTAATATGAACGGATCAGTCAGTTGAGCCAAGATAAGTTTTCTGCTGCTCCAGGACTGGGTAGGACCTGGCTACACTATAAAACCGAATTTTGAAGATATGTGATATTACCCAATTAAAAATGTTAATTTTATGGTTTTATTGTTGCGTTATCTTATCAATTGTGGGAACAAACCTTGGCAATACATATTGAAGAAAATTTAATTAAAGAAGAATTAAAGAGAACCACTTGTGTTGTTGGTATTGTGTCTAGCAGAGAATAAGTAAGCCTGATATGTGTTGTAAATATGAATTGATGTAAAAAAAAAAAAAAAAAAAGTTTTTCAAGTTAAAAAGTTTCAAAAATTAAAGTTTGTGTCCATCTTTGGCTAGCGACAACATTAACGCTAAAATCAAATTTGCTAGCAAGCGGAGCTTTTTAGCTCTAAAGGAACTGCAATAACCAGCACAACTTAGCTGTTGTCAAGCTAAATTGACAACAGCTAAGTTGTTAACTTAGCTTGACAACTTAGCTAAGTTGTACTTAGCTGACTTGTGATTGTTTTAGCTTAGCTAAAATTATCACTATTTCAGTTGTTTTCTGCCATCATCACAAACCAATTCTGGTTTATTATTTCATTTCTTTTTCTATTGAATGGCAAACCAGATGAGTGAATCCATCAGAATAATTTACATAAACTGAACTAACGGAGCTGAGTTATGACAGTTTAGAAAATTGTTTGTATTGTCTGGTGTGGTACTTCAGCTCTTAAACCAATCAGTATATCATTTTTACTCAGAAATGTGAATAAAAACATTGATTCAATTCTGACAGTTTTTTTTTCAGTGCAGGTGAACGCCTCCTAACTGGATGTATCTCCCATTTCCGTTTAAGCAATTAGTGTTGAAACTAAATGGCATCATTTTTGGTGCAAACCAAAATGATCAAACTCTCTCTTTTATTGTTATGTATTTTTTTAATTGTACAGTACTTTGGTCGGCCTTGAAGATGATTTAAAAGTGCTTTTCAGATCGATTGTTATGATCAATATAACAATTGATGGACAAATTTGCATCTGACGTAAGCACTAATTTTTTTCCCCTTTCAGTCCCGTTTAATAATCTATTCAAATTAACTCGTTTTATGTGCACAAAAAAGCAAAACCAAACTTATTTTATGCTTATAAATCAAATGTAATTTAATAATCCCAGTGGAATTTTTTTTATGAAAGCGCATATCTATAGATATGGACAAAAAGAAAGTCAGACATGTTGTAGACAGATGTCGGGAGCTTTCATTCTTTCTTTCTTCTTTCTCTCTTTTTTTGAGAGAGAGAGCAGATTTATTTATTATGCGCCACAATGGAGGCGTCCGAGCGTGAAGCCCGGGGTTCTTTTCTTTCTCCATCCGTCCAGGCTCCGGTTGCTGCTGCTCATCTTTTATTTGTCTGCAGTCTGGTGGCGCTATATGGAAGGACGGACGCTATTTTTTTACGCTAATTTCTGCCTCTTTTTTATATAAAGGAGCAAGATAGAAGCAGCAAATTTGGACTTTTATTGATTTTATTTTTTATTTTTGCTTGTTTGTTTGTTTTGTCTTCTTGTATCCAGGTTGTTATTTCCAGTCTGGTTTGCGAGGATGAACTCGTGCGCCTTTTGCTATATTTATATAGGCAAAGGAGCGGATTATAATCACCCATATGCGCAAATTTAACCGCCCATTTTTTAAAATTTTTTTATTTATCCTAACAGCGATACCTGTGCACACTTCTCCTGACGCACTTTGCAACACGAGGGTAATTTAGATCCTTCACGTTGCGAGATGATGGATTGCGCGCTTCGTTTTACGACGCTATACACTTGCGCCACGCTTTTAGCTGTGCGCAAACAGCTGTGAATGACTCCTCTCGGTGTGGCGGGTCATATTTAACCCGGACAACCAGAGAGCGGATCATGGTGTCAGGAACGAAGATGCGTCTGCGGGACAAACAAACACCGCAATTAAAATAACATTCTGGGCCATTTAACGTAAAAGAGGATGTCAGACATTTTACTTTGTTTGTTTTGATCAAATGATGTCGTTGGCATTTTGATTCTTTTGGGTATAGCAAAAATGAAAAATTTCTTAATTTAGAGATTTTTTTTTTATACGATTTTATTTTTTGCCATTAATTTACTTTCGAAATTAATGGCAGCTTGATGAAGGTTGTAATTAAAGAAGAAAACAAGGTTCTCTGCACACTTTTTTCTAATATTATCGGACAAACCAACAATCCTTGTCTTGACAAAGTTAATGCGGTGCGTCTCTGTGGGAGGTTTGAGTTGTTTTAGACTGCGGACACGAGGGGAGACTTTTACACAGCAAAAAAAAAAACTGTTGGATAATAATGATAATAATAATAACCATCTTCTTTAAAAGAAAGAGCTGAGTGGAAATTATTTAACTAAAATCCAGTCAGATAAGAGGAATCCCAAGCAAATTTGAAAACGTCTCAAAATTAGACTTGGGAGGAAACCTTTTTATTTATTTTTAACCTAAGAGTTGCATTTATTCTTTTCACAAATAGCTGAGATGTATTGCAAATAAATTAGTTTTGAAATATTGTAGTTCATTCCAAGTTTAACCAGTCTTTACTGCAATTTTCCAGCTTCCTCTCAATCTGAGGCCTTTCAAAATAAGATAAAAATATGAAAAAGCTGGTTTGTTTTTTGTTCTCTCACTACCATCAAACTTTTGGTTATTATTATTATTATTATTATTATTATTATTATTATTATTATTATTATTATTATTATTATTATTATTATTATTATTTTAAACTTTGAGGGCTTGAACCATCCCTTGACAAGATGCTACCCTAGGCAGAGAGCCATATCACTTCTATCAACTAGCTGGAACTTAAATTCTTGGATCAACACAAACTTTATTAATTGAAAATCTTATGACAGTTCTCAGTGCTTACTAGACTGATGTCCTTAATCATAATATATGATACGTAACACATTAGTCATATAGTTTTCTGCTGGACAACACATTTTATTTTCACCCAAATTAAAAAAGTGCAATCTAAAACAACATCCAATGAGCCGGACATCATCACCAAGCCTTTTTTTTTTTTTCTTTCTTTGGCTGGGCTTGAACCCATGACCTTATGATTCCACAGACCAGAGCTGGTGCAGTTCCTGTTTCTCTCTCTCTCTTTGCAGTCCGTATTCACTCAATTAGAGATTTCTGAGGAGAAAAACAATCGATCTTCCATCTGCACCGTGCTCCCAGTTCAACAAATGAGATTCTTGTTTCATGCAGCTGATTTGGTG